CACAGCAGTGCGAGGGGAATTAGCAGCAGTGGCAGCAACAGTCAAAGGTCGCGTCGTGGTCGTCGCCGTAGTCTCCTCGTAGCAGTAGCAATAGCAGTAGCAGTAGCAGCAGCAGCAGCAGCAGTAGCAGATAGACTCCCCGCCAAGAGCACGCGGATGTGTGATGGTGGCCCATGGTGGCCCATTCCGCTTTTGTTTTGTGTGGCGTGGCGTGTCTCCTAGCAGCGAGCTCCCAGGACCCTAGTTTCAATTCTTTGGAGTAAAGGCCAACCCAAACCCGTTCTCTTTCCAGGAGGCACCCAGTACCAGGGACATTCCTTTGGATATTCGCTATCCTGGGCTGGCCTAGAGCTCATCGCGGGGCAGAGCGGCCACTGCATTTTGTTACTTGTGCGTGAGCTTTAGCCGCTGTGATCAGGTCAAATGCGACCCAGCAGAGATGTACGGTCGCTTGGATGCGAGTGTAGCTGACCAGAATGCACAGACGGATCCTTGGAAGTCTGCGGCCCGCGGCCCGTGTAAGGTTGCATGAGCCGATGCTCTTCAGGGGTGACTCAGGAGGCTGGGTGAAGATGCGAGTTGGGGAGGGGAAGCCATGCTTGAGACGATGGCGACGCAGTGGGAGGGTTGTTTCAACGTCCGAGGCGCCGGGGAACTCCAGGAAGAATTGCGCAGCGAGGGGAAGAGAGAGAGAGAGAGAGAGAGAGAGAGAGAGAGAGAGAGGGGGGGGGACTAGCCACGGGGACTACCTCGGGGCTTGAAGGTTGTTTTTTCGCTGCAGTAAGGTTTTTTGTTTGTACGCGAGCCGCATGTGCAAAAGGAGTGTCAGTGTAGGAATAACGCACCTCTCCACCAGCACCCACACCAAGAGCCGGGGCGTAAGTGTGTGATGTTCCCCTAGTGCCCCCGTTGCCTTGCCCGCACCACCACCAATGGCACGGGGACCTCCCCCAAGTTGTGATGTTCCCCTACGGACTGCTGTAGCCCTTTACATGCTTCCTGAAGGGGACCCGTGCCAACACATACAACCACACTTAAACCACAAACCCGAGCAGTAGCAAAACAACTCGGAAGAGGTCGCCGCAAAGTGGTTCTAGTGTTGTCAGAGTGCGTGTTTGCTGCGACGGGGACTCTCCAGAGGCCGACGACCCCGCAATGCCGGGGTCATGCAAGCCACAGCACAGAGAGGGGATCAGCACTGACGTAGTAAAGGACCAGGCGCGAAGGTAACAGCGGGGACAGTCGTTGTCGTAGAGGGCTATCGGGGCTTAAGACCTGGGCCAACAGTGCTGCCCCTCCTCAGTTTCACACCGACTGCACAAAGACAGACAGGGCCGTAGCGCGAGAGCGCAGGGATTGTGAGGGTAACCTCACGTCCCAAACGGCGTGCAAGCAAGCAAGCAAGCAAGGGGGGGCCTGACGAAAGAAAGAATCACAGAGAGATGTTTTTGTTTCGAGCGGAGTCGCCGCTTACAAGAGCTTTTGCAACACTCACTCGTACAGCCGAGCCTCCTACTGGTAAGACGAAATCCTGAAACCTGCCAGGAAGTGCAGGCTTGCGCGCGCGTGCGAGGTTCAGGGTTTGACCTGCCCTCTGCGCCTCCAGCCTAGTAGAGATAGAGAGTGGGAGCGTCAGAGGGATATCATTCCGCTCCTCATGCCTCACGGGACATGAGTTTGGATTTGGATGCGGTGCAGTTGTGACTGGGCGTACCTTTTGATTGATGAGTCTGATATGGGAGTATTCCGGGTATGTGAAGTCGTTCGGCATCGTTCGGCCGAGAGACATCGTGCCGAAGCTGCGGCTTCAACTCGCGAGTGCATTGGGGGCTCGCGGTGTAGAGTGCAGAGTGCATTGTGCGTTTGTAGTGCAGAGTTGTGGACGGCTCCTCCCCTGTGCCAACAGCGCTGCCAGGAGAACGCAGACAGAAAGCTTTGTCTGACCATCCGCTGCATCCGGGATTGCTCCAGGAAACGCACAGGGCCTTGGGGTTTGCTATGTCGTTTTGCTCGAGTACGCTGGGTGACTAGTAGACTTTCAGAGGGCACAATATCAATGGCAGGACGACGTCGCGGGAGTGTCTTCTTCTCAGACGATCTTGCTTGACGGAGCGGTGGAAACAACAACTTTTGACTGCGAGGCCCGTCCAAATGTCATCCCGACATGTTGCCGCAAGCAGCGACCGGACCAGCACTGCCAGCGGTGGAAGTGTGGAAGTCTGTGGCAGCTCTTGCGGCGTGCGAGAAGCTGCTAAGCCTCATCGATGCCCGAGACTCTGTCTCACGAAGGAAAGCATGTTCTTAGATGCTCATGTAACGGAGGTCGCACGAAGCCAATGCTACCTGGACTGCAACCCTTGATTAGCTTCGGTGTTGTCGACTTTCCCAGCATCGTGCCGTCTCACATCTTTGGGTGGATAGGCTCAGCGTCCGCACCTGTTCCGGACGATAATGAAACAATCCCGGCTGGTAAAATACCAGCATGCAGTCGATGCAGGGAAGCAAAGTTGAGACGTAGGGCACTGCAGTTGCTGATAAGCAGTTGAGATTTTTCCATTGGCGTGTGAGCTTTTTCAGGCCATGAAAGGTCTTTCCGGAAGGCAACTGGAAGCTTTCCAGATGGCTTGGGGCCCAGAAGAGGACATTGCAATTGCAAGCGGTTGTGCCGCAACATTGCACAGCGTAGGTGATGAGCCGGATGGAAAGACTCGAACGCGAAAACCAGGCAGGGGAGTTTTTGCTGGCTGGTCCAAGGCCAAATCTCGTCTGCCAGGAGCTGATGCAGCTGTTGATTCAGATGCAAGGCCACCCCCCTTCGGCTCGTTCACATGCTACATCTCCGAGCAGTGTAGCGTAGTGTGTGGCATGAATCACCTTAGCTTTGAAGTGAAGGTCTGCTTCAGCAAACTCAGCAGCGAAATGCGCAGCTTGTAGGACGCAGATGTCCAGAAGTGTATTTCCTGCGGTCGGGTGACTGTTGAATCCGTTAGTATCCACGTTGGAGGACAAGCGCGGGCCGAGGCTGCTTCAGCCTCGCACGCCAGGCCGGTCGGTCGATCCAAGCAACTCAGTTCGAGGTCAATTCTGTCACTGGCAACGCGGCTGGAGTTGCGTGCGATGCTGAGAGAAACGGCGCTGAGCAACAGCAGAGTTGCGGTCTGGGTTTGGGCGGTTTGGGGAGCGCAGGCTCGAGGCTCAGCGACAGATGGCGCAGGCGCGGATCTCGTCTTTGCCAGTCTCTCTGCCTCGGCTCGGCTCGTCAAGGCCCCCTCCCGGCCGCCGCCACCCTTTGCATTGCAGGCGACTCCATTCGAGTGATTCTGGTGTTCTTTTGCGGGATTACTTGGTCAAAGTCTATCATCTTTGGTCACTGCGTCCGTTCCTCGAAACTGGTAAGAAACAAACAGCTCAGCTGAGACGCCGCTCACGCCACCTCCTGCGCCTGCGACAGCGCAAACTGTGCCTGACCTAGACTCTGAGAGTCGACCACCGGGTCCCTAAGTTTCGATTTCATGTATACAAATAAGGCCATGGGCGACATGCAGAAACGAAAGGTGGGAAGCTGGGAGTTTGCGGGGTCTGGAGTGTTATGCCGGCTGAAGGCAGAGACAGTCTGGAGCAGTTTTGGCTGAAAGGTTAGGAGTTTTCTGCTTGTGGTGCCAGCCACTGAAAGCATGGCGGACACGGCAGGGAAGCCGATCACTTGCAAAGCAATGGTTGCGTTCGGTGTGAATGACCTGCGAGAGGAGGATGTTCGAAGAGAAGCGGGCGTCATTGTTTTAAAAGCAGAGCAGCTGCAGCGTCAGCAGAGCTGGGGAGCCGCAGCTCTTCGCAGGAGATTGTGGTGGGCCCTCCGAAGGCCGGTGAGGTCCGGGTGAAAGTGATTTGAGCCCTACCTGCACTCAGATCGCTGGCTGCACTCTTGAACTTTCTGCCCTCTTGGCCTTCCTTTGCTTCGAGGCAACGCCCTCTGTCACACAGACATCTACACGCAGCTCGTACTCAGTATGTACAAATGATTCTGTACCGACGTGTAGTTCTTATTCGGCCCAGGCTCAGTGGCCAAGATCCCGAGGGCCTTTTTCCTTCCATCCTGGGACATGAGGCCAGGCCCGAGAGGGCTGATCAGCCCCTTTGGGGCAATGAAACCACTGACCACTTGACGTGCGATGGTGGTGTCATGTTCGGTCATATAAGTCATATAACCATAGCAGCTACCACCGCCCCCACCCCCACCACAGCCCCTGGCCTCGGCTCACTCTCGCCACGCATCACCACTGCCACCTCCTCCCGTCACGTACTGACACGGCCACCGCCAGCACGAAAATCATCATCATCAGCAGCAGCATCATCAGCAGCATCATCAGCATCACCGTCGTCATCGTCATCGTCATCGTCATCGTCATCGTCATCGTCATCGTCATCGTCATCGTCATTCATCATCAGCATCAGCATTACCATCACCATCACCATCGTGTCGTCACTACAACCCGGACAAGACGCTGCTGCGTGATGCCAAGGGTGCATCGTAACACCGGCGGTTGAGGGCTCGTTTGAGCGGCTGCTGGGCGCATAAAAGCAACTAACTGCCCGGCCGGTAGGAAACCGTTCTACAAATGAGTCAATGGCTGTCGTAGGAAATGCAGGACCTGCCACAGGCGCGAGTCCTGCTGCAGGTGGTTGGAGTGAGCATCCAAGCGGGGGCTAACCTGTTGATGCCCGTTCCTTCTTCATGCAGCCTCGCAGCCCTCGCCTACATGTGCCGAAGTGTGAGTTTTCTCAACTCAGCCTGAACACCTCATCGGACACATAAGCCAACATTTGCCAATGATGTGTGCGGTCGCTCCTGGCAGATGACTCAGGTCAACTGGTTCTGTGACCCTCGCCTCCATTTTACAGAAATCAGTGACCTGTCAACACCCGGACATGCCATTTCATAGAAGTTCCTGGGCACGATTCTGAAATGAGCAGCCTTGATTGTTTGAGAAGGGTATCACAATCGTAGTAATAATCATCAACATCATCATCGTAATTAGCAGGACCGTAGCCACCATGCGCATTCGTATACGTATTGCCAGCATCAGAAGCACATTTCGTCATAATTTTCCTCGTCGTCGTCGTCCTCCTCCTCCTCTCGTCTTCTTCTGCATCATGGTCATTATCATAGTCATAGTCATCGCCATCAACAACATCAACATCATCATCATCATCACCTTCTTCTTCGTCATGTCGGCCCTGTCTGAGCATGAGCTATGATTCTATTTCCGTCAGGGCGAAGCACGAGCCTTTCGAGTCGGCGCTGGCAAACCGCACCGTAAGTAGTCATGGCAAACGATTGCGCAGCGACGTGAGCGGGGAGTGGCAAGTACAGGCGAACACCTTGGCAGCGGTAAGTCGGTAAGCGAGCATTGAAGCCCAAAGAGGGGAGTAACCGACCCATGCTCCTTGAAATGAGTGAGGCGTGAGTGGGCATCAAATCATGAGACAGCCCTTAAGCTTGGAAATAACCTTTCAAGGTCGAGGGAACGGACAACCTTCAGCCCATCAAATCTACATGTATCAAATAATGCGATCGGGGTGGGGAGTATGAATGCCTGAACGGCCCGGCCCGGGGGGCCGTTTGAATGGGTGGAGTTGCGAACGCCAAATAAGTACAAGCAGTGTGCTCAGGGAGCAAGGAGCAGCACGTCCTAAACCTTGCCCCAACACCTTGCAGTTTCCTGTGAGAAGCCAACGTGTTGGCGTGCGATTGACTGACTAGCAGCACCGCATTCGAACATGTCTGGATTCTGCCACAGGCCGGTGCCATTGTCGAGTCTGTTGGAGAGGGCGTCCTGTCCGTGAAACCCGGAGACCACATCGTCCCTGGATACACACCGCAGTGCAAGGCCGATTGTGATGCATGGGCGCGCAGAGTTCGTTGCACGGTTGTTGCCCGTCGCTTACCCGGGCAGGGCTCCGACTGCATATTCTGCATGAGCCCGAAGACCAACCTGTGCCCAAAGATCCGCGGCACACAGGGCAAGGGTGTCATGCCTGATGGCACATCCAGATTCACACTCAAGAAGGTCCGAGTGGTCATTGAGCGTTGTTGAGGCTGTTGGAAGGGGGGTTTCAGTGCTGCGGCCAGCAGGATGGCACGACCATTTACCATTTCATGGGCTGCTCCACGCAGCTCAGCTGCAATGGCAGTTTTGATGCAAAGTTGAGAGAGCTGTCTGGCTTCCAGGGTGTTTTTACAACGCTAAGGTTCGCAGAATACACCGTCCTCGCCGAAATTTCCTGCGCGAAGATCAATCCTGAGGCCGACTTGGAGAAGTTTCTTGGACGCTCTTGATTTTGTGTGGCTTTGCAGAGGGGCGAGCTGCAGAAAGGCTAGAGTTGACAGGTCACGAACATGCACGAACCACAAGCCGAGGATGTGCCTGTTTGGCTGTGGTATTGCTACTGGACTGGGCGCCGTCTGGAATAGTGCGAAGGCTGTGCTACTTGCGAGGCGGCCGATCAAGCGGATCACTGCTTTGCATAGCCGAGTTTCAGGTTGACCCCTTCTCCACCGTGGTCGTCTTTGGCCTTGGAGCCGTGGGTCTGGCGGTGATTCAAGGCTGCAAGGCCGTGAACTGCAGCAAAATCGTTGGAGTTGACACGAACCCCAAGAAGTTCGACATCGCAAAGCAGCAGCTCTGCTAACAGATTAGCTCTGGACTCTCGGTTCGCTGTTTGCAGTTGAATGTTTCCCAGCCAGGGCTGAACATAAGGTTGGGCTGCACGGAGTGCATAAATCCGAAGGACTACGACAAGCCTATCCAGCAGGCACTATTGCGGTTTCGGTTTGAGCATGCTGCATGATTGCTTGCGTGCTGCTGATCAAAAGAAGACTTCTGAGGTGTTGGTTGAGATGAGCCCTACCAAGTTTGGATACGACTACACTTTTGATTGCACTGGCAACACCGATGTCATGCGGGCGTGCCTGGAGGTTTGCGTCTTTGCGTATGCATGGACGCATCTGCAGGTCCTGTGACATTGATGACTCCAGCCGAGTTTTGAATATCGCTGTGCAGGCCTCGCACAGAGGTTGGGGTCAGAGCTGCGTCATTGGCGTGGCCGCTGCAGGCCAGAAGCAAATCTTCCCGTGCATTCTTCTTGACAAGTTTGTGGCTGGGCATGTGCGCTCTGAAGAGACGTCTGGTCAACCGCCGAAGGCAAGGAGCTTTCTACGCGCCCGTTCCAACTGGTCACCGGTCGGCGCTGGTTGGGCACGGCTTTTGGTGGCTGGAAAACTCGAGATGCCATCCCTATGCTGGTGGACAAGGCTGCTTGCCGTCCGTCCCTCTCTCTCTCGCTCGCACTCTCTCTCTCCCTCCCTCTCCTCTCCTCCCACTCTCTCTCTCTCTCTC